TGTTAACTATGACTTATGTGTACATGTAACTACTACCTAAAGGGCAATAATACATTTTTCAGCAACCCAGAAGGTTTCATTATGTCCTTCCCGGTGAGTTTCAGGAGTAACCAGTGATCTGATTGAGATCATTGGCAGTTAAGTTTTTTTACTTTATTTTTTAAATTTTATGCACATTGGTCTTTTGGCTGCATGTATTCTGTGTGAGGTTGTTGAAATTCTCTGGAACAGAAGTTACAGATAGTTGTGAGTTGCCATGTGGATGCTGGGCATTGAACTCAGGACCTTTGGAAGAGCAGCCAGTTCTCTTAACTATCTCTCCAGCCCCAGCAGTTAATTTTTTAAAAACATAATTGAGCTGTAATTCATATACAATGCATCTACTTTTAGTTACCAGTTTTATATGTATGTATATATATATTATATATAGTATATTCATAATATTGTGTAGCTGTCACACTTCAGAGCATTTTAATTATCTTAAAGATATATTCCATCCATTCAGTCATTTCACTGTCTTCTTTGCCAGTTACCTCAACTCAGTCTTAAATAATATTTATTTATGGACTCTGTTCATTTACTGCTATTGATATTTTATATTAGTGAGATCATACACTTAAGTATTTGTGGTCACTTAGGACTAGCTTTTTTCACTTATTGTGATGTTTTCAAGCTTTATATTATAAATGTTTATTCCTTTTTATGGTTGGGCCATATTTTATCAATTAGTGGACATTTGGATTACTTCCACTTCAGAGTACTGCTAAATAATGCTTTTATCAACACTTGTGTAGTTTTTTTTTGAAGGTGTATTTTTATTTTATGTGTACGAGTATTTTGTCTGCACAGATGTCTTTGCATCACTTGTGTGCTTGGTAGTGCCCTTGGGGGCCAGAAGACAGTGTTGGTACCCCTGAAACTAGAGTTAGAGATAGTTGTGAGCCCCTTTGTGGCCAAGCCATCTCTCTAGCTCCAAGCATGTATATTAATCTCTTTCAACAATGTTTTGTTTTCAGATTACAAGTTTCACGTACCTTTTTCATTAAAGCTATAACTTTATGGTTTGAAGCATACAAGTTTTAATTTACATGTAATCTTTCTGTTTCCTTAGAGTTTGTGCTTTGATATCTCATATTTAACGCACCATGGTTTATAATTCTAGGTGAGAAGAGTTTATGCCCATGCATATGTTTATGCCATAAAGAGCTTTATTTGTTCTTAGGTTTAGGTTTTTGAATAACTTCATAAAACCTTTGGGTATATGTGTGGCAAGGGTTTAATCTAATTTTATTTTGATTTTCTTTCCTTTCTTTCTTTCTTTCTTTCTTTCTTTCTTTCTTTCTTTCTCTCTCTCTCTCTCTTTCTTCTTTCCCCTCCCTCCCTCCTTTCCTCCCTCCCTCCCTTTTTTCTCTCTTTCTTTCTTTTTTTTTGTGACAGGGTTTTTCTATGTGGTCCTGGCTGGCTGTCCTGGACTCGCTTTGTAGACCAGGCTAGCTTTGAACTCACAGTGATCCACCTGCCTCTGTCTTTCGGAGTACTGGAATTATAGTGTGCACCACCACCCTTGGCCTAATTTCATTTTTTAAATGTGTACTTCCAGTTGTCTAAGTATCATTTTTTGAAAAGGCCATTCTTCACTGAATTATATTAACACCTCTATATAATTAGTTGGCAGGATAGGTGGGTGTTTTTAGTCTCTTCTATTTCGTTGGTCTAAATATCTATCTTTGTGTCAGTGCTCTCATGTTTTGGTAACTGTTGCTTTCTATGTTTTGAAATTGGAGTGTTTGAATTTTTCAAATTTGTTTTTTGATTGGTCAGTATTGTTTTACCTGTTTTGGGACCCTTTCATTTAGGATCAGCTTATTTACTTCCTCGAGAATTCTAAATACAATTTTATTGGAAATTATTTCTATATAGCAGTTGGAACATATTATCATACTAACAATATTTAAACCCTCTGCTTCATGAACTGGGGAGGTCTTTACATTTAGATTTCCTTTAATTTCTTTCATCATAGACACCTTCCACTGAGTTTAAGTTCTACCTCTTTCAAGGAATACTGTAAAAATATTAGCTCTAAGTTTTATGTTTCTTAGTTAAATTTACTCATAAGGATGGTGGTATTATTATTATTATTATTATTATTATTATTATTATTATTATTATTTTGATTTTTCAAGACAGGGTTTCTCTTTGTGGCTCTGGAAGTCTGGAACTCAATCTGTAGACCTGGCTAGACCAGGTTGGCCTGAAACTCAGAGATCCACCTCTCTCTGCCTTCTCAGTGCTGGGGTTAAAGGCATGCACCATCATTTCTGGCTAGAATTTTATAATTTTTGATAACATTAATAAAAGTAGGATTTAGGGTCTAGAGCAGTGGTCTCAACCTGTGGGTCATGACCCCTTTGGGGTTAATGGACTTTCTCATAGGGGTACATATCAGATAGCAAAATTACAGTTATAAAGTAGCAATGGAACGAATTGATGGTTGGGGGTCACCACAACATGAAGGACTTTATTAGAGGGTTGTGGCGTTAGGAAGGTTGCGAACCACTGATAGAGGGAGATGGCTCGGCAGTTTGCTGTTCTTGTGGAGGACTCAGGTCTGGTTCTCATCACCTGTCCATCCTCCAGTTCCGCAGGGTCAGGCACACAAGCAGCACACATAAATACATGCAGGGAGCAGTCATACACAGACTTAAGTACATGTTTAAATGCTGCTCTTCCGGAAGACACTGGTTAAATTTCCAGCGCCCACTTGGTGACTTGGAACTGTATTAACTCCAGGTCCAGGCGGCCATATCTTCTGGTCTTTGAGGCAGCAGGCACGCAGTGATACACAGACATACATGCAGGCAGAACACCCACACACACTCTGGGTGGTGGTGGTGCACATCTTTAATTCCAGCATTGGGGAGACAGAGGCACGGGGATCTCTGAGTTTGAGACTAGCCTGGTCTATAGAGTAGTTCCAGGACAGCCACAGCTACACAGAGATACCCTGTCTTGAAAAATAAAACAAACAGGCTGGAGAGATGGCTCAGTGGTGAAGAACACTGGCTGCTCTTCCAAAGGTTCTGAGTTCAATTTCCAGCAACCACGTGGTGGCTCACAAACATCTATGGTGAGATCTGGTGCCTTCTTCTGGTGTGCGGGTGTACATGCGGACAGAACACTGTATACATAATAAACAAACAAATTCCAAAAAAAGCCGACCAAGCAACAACAAAACCTTACCTGTACGCATAAAGTAAATACATAAAAATTCTGAAACAGGAAAACTAAATTTACTTGTATTTATTTATTTTGTGTGTATTACGTGCCACAGAGGCCCAAAAACAACTTGGGAGAGTTTACCATGTGTGTTCCAGGAACTGAACTCTCTGATCCTCAGGCTTGGTAGCAAGTGCCTTTACCTTGAAGGAACAGAAGGAAGAACTTATTTTTTTTAAAAAAATTCATTTTATGTGTGTAAGTGAATGTACGCCTGTGTGCTGTGTGTGTGCCTGGTACCCAGGGAGGCTAGAAGAAGGCATCAACTGCCCTGGGGCCGATTTACAGATGGTTGTGAGCCACCGTGTATTTAGTGGGGCTTGCGCCTGGGTCCTTTTGAAGAGACGCTAGGACTCCTTCCTAACCACTGAGCCGTGTCTTCTGCCCCAGAACAATCCTATTAACAGTCAGATTTGTTTATTGCTAGTCTATAGCACGGACTTGGTTTTTCTGTACTGACACTGTGTCCTTTCACCTTGATGAGCTTTCTTGGATAGTTTTTAGTGGATCCCATAGTTACTGTTTTTTAAATGGCAGTTTGGTTTATCTATTTATGATTAATTTTTCTTTCATTTTTCCTCTTTCACCTACCTAGAACCTCCTGTGCAATCTTTGGTGATGAAAGCAAACATTTATGTTTTCTTTTCTTCTGAGTCATGATTTCACTGTTTTGCTTGTGTTGTTTCCACCTTGAATCCTCCTGCTTCAGCAAGTAAGCTGTTACCACAGCCACATGACACAGCCAAAGCAGACATGCTTGTCCTGTTAATTTGTCTTAAGAAAGAATTCAGTATTTTACCCTTAAATGTTGTCTTGGTGTTTCTATTGCTGTGGAGAGACACCATGACCATGGCAACTCATACATAGGAAAACATTAAATGTGGCTGGCTTATAGATTCAGAGGTTCAGTTCATTATCATCATGGCAGGAAGCATGGCGGGGTGCAGACAGACGCGGTGCTGCAGAGGAGCTGAGAGTTCTGCATCTAGATCAGCAGGAACAGAGAGTGCTACTGGGCCCGGCTTGAGCATCTGAAACCTCAAAGCCTATCCCCTCCGCCAACCCCCACTTCCTCCAGTATGGCTGCACCTACTCCAGCAAGGGCACACCTCCTAATAGTGCCATTTCCTATGAGCCTATTTGGACCATTTTCATTTAAACTACCACAGATGTGTTGCTATCTAAATTATTACATCAATACATAAACATTAACTGTGGGGTTTGGGGAGATTCTGGACACTTAGATTTTTTGCTTGTTTTGGTTTCTAAATTTTGGACACAGTAGTGACGTTGGCTGGGTTGGCTTCTCCCTTATGATCTTCCTGCCTCTGCTTCCTGATGTGCTGTGATCCACTGCACCTAATTAAGAGTACTAATATTATTTTAGAAAGATCTTTTAGGTAAATTGTTATTGTATACTTGATGAAACCACTTGTGTAAATTAATATATAAGGAACCAAGATAAATTGTTTTTAATACTATTGAAATTTTACTAGAGCGATGTGTGTGTGTGTGTGTGTGTGTGTGTGTGTGTATGGACACACATATGTCCATCTCCTATATAGAAATGTACTTATATACATGTATATATTCCTTTACAGAAAAAGTTAAAAAAGTAAAATTTTTAATGTAGGAAAGTTCTAAAGTCTAGATTTATTTCTTTTAAACCTGTCATTTACTTGGAAACTTAACTTTTTGAGTAAATTCTTGAATTTGCATTTCAGGTAAAAAAGATGCCACGAAGAAAGAAAAAAGTTAAAGATGCCTCTGAGTGCCAGAACTTAGAGAAGAAGGACCCAGAAGGCAGCAGCTCTGTCAGTGTAAAGAAGCCGCGCAGGCTGGAGGACCTGCTCATCGTGATATCTGACAGTGATGGAGAGGTCAGTATGTGACATGACGTTGTAGGGCTCAGCCTAGGCCTCTCTACCCACGTATTTGTTATGACTGTACCTTCATACCAGTTTGCTGACTTCATGCAGTTTTTTATTTCCTTTTGATTTCTAAGTAGAATTATGGATTATTTAAAAGAAAGTAGCCATGCTGTTTGGCTGGGGATGAATTATAGTTTTCCCTTCTTGTCATATGCTAACCCAATGTGATATTTTACAACTGTTAGAATAAATTAAACCAAATAGAAAGTGTAATTTTTTTTTGTTCGGAAAGTAAAAGAAAGTGTGAATGGGATGGGATGGAACCCAGGCTTCGTACATGTTAGAGAAGCACACTACCAGCTGAACCAAGAAAATTATGTTATTGTGGAAAGGAGAGAGATTGTCTAGATTGTAAACCTTTTCTTGTATTTACCATTTTTCTTCCTTTTTTGCCTGTGCACTGGATCAGATCTAGCACAGAACGAACCAAGCCTTTGTGTCTTACACCCCTCAGTTTACTCAGCGGGAGAAGCATTCATCTAAAGTTCAGAAGACCTTTCATTCTTCTTTTTTCTTCATCTTTTACACCTACTTGGTCACTGCAAGCTTTAGATTTAATCTCTCTCTTTTTTTAAAAAAAAGATTTGTTTATTTATTTTATGTATATGGCGCTCTATCTGCATGTACACGTGCAGGCCAGAAGAGACCACCAGATCTCATTATAGATGGTTGTGAGCCACCATGTGGTTGCCAGGAATTGAACTCAGGTCCTTGAAAAGAGCAGCCAGTGCTCTTAGCCTCTGAGCCATCTCTGCAGCCTCTAGATTTAATCTCTTAGGTGACCCTCAGGTTTGCTCTTCTGTTACGTAGATCTTTGCAGTACACTCCCTTCAGTATCTCTGGTGCCTCGTTTTTCCTTCCTACATTTCACTTCCCCTTTTGCAGCTATTTATTGAGATGTGTGTCTGTCTGTGTGGGTGGGTGGCAGGGCTGTGTATGCCCCCATTCACATGCATGGGAGGCATATCGTGAATATTTTGTACTTATTAATGCATAAACTATCGTATTTTAGAGTGTCCCTTTCCTATTGTTTCCCTTCCTTCCCATTGCTGTATTTGCTTTACTTTTTTTGTTTTATTTTCTTTTTAAATTTTTAATTTTTATATTAAAAATAGATTTTTTCACACAATATATTTTGATTTTAATTTTCACTCTCCCAACTTTCCTCAATCTTCCCCAACTACCCACCCACCCAAATTTATACTCTTTGTCTCTCATTAGAATATAAGCTGGCATCTAAAAAATTATAACAAACAAATTGGAATAGGACAGAACAAACAGAAGAACCAAAGAAAAAGCCCAAGAAACACATAGATGCTGAGACACCAGTTCACACACAGAACTCATAAACACACAATACCAGAATCCACAGTATACACCCAAACGACCTGTGAAGAGAAAAGAGAGAGTGCCCAGACCAAGCCGTATGAGACAGAGTACCTCCAAAGATGTGATTGAGTTTGTTTTGAATCTTCTACTGCTGGGCATGGGGTCTGTTCTCAAAAGTAGTTTGTATACCGAGTGAGACTCCACTGGAGAAAACCTGTTTTCCCTTTGTGAGCAGGTATTAATTGGAGACAGCTTCTGGGTTAGGAATGGAGGCTTGTGTTCATTTCCTGAGCACTGGGACTTCATCTGGCCTAGACCTGTGCAGGCCTTGTGCGTGCTGCTGCCGCAGTCTCTGTGAGTGTCTATGTATGGCAGTCCTGCTGTGTTTAGAGGCTTTGTTTTCTTGATGTCCTCTATCCGCTCTGGCTCTTACAGTCTTCCCTCCTCTTTTTGGGCAGGGGGTTCCCAGAGCTCTGAGGGAAGGGATTTGATGAAACATCTCCTTCAGGACTGGGTGTTCTTGTTCTCTTGCTTTCTGCACATTGTCTCTTTGTGGGTCTTTGTTTTTTCCCCATCTACTGTAGAAGGAAGCTTCTCTGATGGTGGCTGATCTTGCTGGTGTGGCCCTTTTCCTTAGCTGATGTGTGTTTTTGTGAATATATGCCATGTGAGTGCAGGCAGGCAAGAAGGAAGGGAGGGAGGGAGGGAGGGAAGGAAAGGAAAGAGAAAGAAAGAACTTCCTGTCCTTCTATAGTTCAGTTCTCAGCACCCACATCAGGTGGCTCACAACTTGGGGGATCTGACACACCCTCGTGGCCTCCTCAGTTTCCTACCATGTGGGTTCATGGATGGGATTCAGATCATCTGGCTTGGTGGCAAGCATTGTTTACCCCTGAGCCATCTTTGTGGCCCCTGTCATGAGGTTTTTTTTAAACCTCTGTTATTGAACTATGCTTTTCTGGAGGGCAGTAATTTTGTATGTTAAGTACCTGTCAGTAGTGCTTAGCCTTTAGCATGCCTAGAAAACCCTGTTTTCTTTTCTTTTTTTCTCTCTGTATAACCTTGGCTGTCCTGGATTGGCCTTGAACTCAGAGGGATCCACCTGCCTCTGCCTCCCTGAGTGCTGGGATTAAAGGCATGCATCACCACTTCTGGCTTAGGCTTTTCTTTTATTAAAAAAAAACAAAAACAAAAAACATTATTTTATGTGCATATGTGTTCTTGCGTGAGCGTACGTGTACCACATGTATGCAGGTATCTGTAGAGTCTGGATGGGGTGAGATCCCCTGAACCTGGAGTTACAGCACCTGTGAGCTGTGAGCTACCTGATATGGTGCTGGGAATCAGCTTTGGTCCTTTGTAAGATCAGTAATTGTTCCTAGCTGCTGTGTTAACTCAGCCCTGGTTTTACTTTTATTTACTTTTAACGGTTCTTCCCTTCCCCTCTTTTTTTCTCTCAGTGTTTCGAGACAGAGTCTCGCTGTGTAGACTAGACTGGCCTTGATTGAAGTCACAGCCATCTTCCTGCCTTTGCCTCCCAAGTACTGAGATTGAAGGTATAAGCCACCATATCTAGCTATATTTAACTATGTAAGAAAATGCCTTACCTGGAGTATAGCTCAGTGGTCAAACATTTGTCTAGCATGACTAATGACTTCCTAGGTTTGACTGCTAGCATTGTAAAACACAAAACCACCATGTGTGGTGCATACCTTAATCCCAACACTGGGAGGCAGAGGCAGGTGTATCTCTATGAGTTCAATGCCAGACTGTTCTACATAATGAGTTCCAGGGCAGCCAGGGCTGCAGAAAGAGCCTGTCTCAAAAAACAAAGCAAAGCAAAACAAAAAGCAAATAATTTCTCCCCCCCCCCCCCCAATAAAACAAAACAAAAAATACCCAAGAAAATATCCTGTTCTGATGTAAAAGACACCAGGTAATGTCTTCTTTTTAAAATGTAAAGGTAGTAATATAAGTTATATTATAGTCATAAGTCGGGCTTCAGTTATAATTTTCTGTTGCCTTCAGCACATATTCTCTCCTGGGTTGGCTGCATTCCATACGTTCCGCTCTCTTCAGCACAGGTCCTATGGTCCTGGCACCTCCAGTATCCTGGGGTTTCCATTGCAGCACAGGCCTCAGCTTTACAGCTTCACACCTGGCTCATAGTCGCATGTCTATTGCCTGGCCTCAGCTGCTCTCAGAAAACATGGAACACGAGACTGACTTCTTTACTCCTGATTCTTCCTTGCTTGCAAGATGAGTACCAAAGGAAGGCATCGCCAAGTCATGTTGCCAGTTCAGGATGTGGCCTGGCCCTGTTGGAACACAGCTGTATCAGGTTTTGTGTGCTGACCTAAAGAAACTTTCCTAAGTGCTTACTCTGAGGAGCAGGAAATCTCTTCAGTTTAGTTTTCTTCTTTTAAATGAATTTTGATTTTCACAAGACAGCCTTCAATGGATTTTGCCCTGTAGTGTCCACTGTAGCACAGTTTTCAGTGCTAGACACAATCTTGTCTTGAAATTTTTACTGCCTAACAGATTAGTTTATTGTCTTTAAATTCAACTTTACTTCAGTTCTCAGGACACAGGCAGAATGAAGCCGGACTCCTGATCAAAAAGTGACATAAATGACTTCTATTCCGGTTCCTGATTGTCACTGTTCTCTGAGAACTCACGAGCTGAGCCCCCACTGCTCATGCTTCCTCAGCATTCTTGTCTTACAGGTTCCCGTTAGAATAGTTCATTAAGCTCTGCTTACAGCACTCAAGTGCTTTGCTAATCCAAAGTTTCAAACACGTTCACATTTCTCCCCCAAACTAGCTCCAAAGGCCTAAGAGCCATGCGGACAGACTTACCATGGCAGTAAGTATGTCTTACTCACTTAACTTACTCCTTAGCACCAACCTCTGTTGCTTTTATGTTGTGACAAAAGCAACTTATGGGGGAGAGAGCTTACTCTGCCTTATAGTCCACCATGACAGAGGACAGGCCAGCAGGCAGGGAAGCCATGGCAGGAGCAGGAAGCCGCTGCTTACATTGTATCTACACCCAGGGAACACAGTGTGAAGTAGGGCAGGCTACTGAACCTTCTCCCAGTCATCCACTTCTCACAGTGAGGCTGTAGCTAAGGACTCTACAACCCTGCCAAGTGAGGCTGTCAGCTGGGAAACAAGTACTCAGACATGTGAGCACGTGGGAGCACATTCACATTCAAACCATATCTCTACTCCTGGTTTCTTTTACTATCACGATGTACCTGGTGATGTGAAATACCAAATCTTGCACACATTCTCAGTGTTTGCCCTTAATTTTGTACTTTCTAAGGGTGATTTTGTCTATGTTGTAAGTTCTTTAATCTGTTTTTTGTTTGAGATAGGGTCTCACTTTCTGGACCTGGCACTTACAGCCTGGAACTTACAGCCTGATCTACAATAATTTGCCTGTCTCTGCCTTCTAACTGCTGTCTAACACTATTATTATTATTATTATTATTATTATTATATCTCATCTTCTGACTGTTCTTTGTTCTTACAGCTTATAGTAGCAGTGGGAATACTGATAGGTTTGTTTTTTTTTTGATATGTTGTTCTAATGATACCTTTATAGCTTTATAGTATGTGTCTTGGTTAGGGTTTCTATTGCTATGAGGAGACCATGACCATGACAAGTCTTTTTTTTTAATTTTTTTAATTTTTTTTTTTTTAAAGATTTATTTATTGTCTATACAATGTTCTGTCTGCATGAACACCTGCGCGCCAGAAGAGGGCACTATAGATGGTTGTGAGCCACCATGTGGTTGCTGGGAATTGAACTCTGGACCTCTGGAAGAGCAGCCAGTGCTCTTAACCTCTGAGCTACCTCTTCAGCCCCCCATGACAAATCTTATAAAGGAAAACATTTCATGGGGCCTGGCTTATAGTTTAGAGATTTAGTCCTTTGTGATCGTGTCAGGAGGCAGACATGATGCTGGAGAAGGAGCAGAGAGTTCTACTTTTGCATCAACAGGCAGCAGGATATGAAGTTAGCCACTAAGGCTGGCTTGAGCTTCTGAGATGTCAAAGCCCACACCCTAGTGATACACCTCCAACAAAGCCACGCCTACCACAACAAGACTATACTTAATAGTGCTCCCCTGTGGGCCAAGCATTCAAACATGAGTCTATGGGGCCCTTCCTATTGAAACCACCACAGTGTGCTTTTTATAATTTCTTTATTGTCTTTTCTTAGTTTTTGCTACTGTCTGGGTTTTCAGTTTTGATTGGTATGACTTGACTTTTACTTTTAACCTGTACAGTAGTTGTGGATTTATTTTACTTTATGCTTGTTTTTTTAATTATTAGTAACATAATTTCTGAATTATTAGAAGATAGAATTGGAGGAGTGGATATGGGGGAGAGGAGAGGTATGGGGGATGGGGCAGACTGGGGAGAGTGAAGGGAAGAGAAACCGCAGTTGGAATATATTGAAAATGATATAAAAATCTAGAACATATATGTGTATATTATATTTCATATATATGTATATGCATATACATATGAATATATACATATATAGATACACATATACATATATACATACATTCATATACACACACACACACATATATATATATTTCAATGTAAAAAAAACAACTCTTACCCAAAAAATATGAGTTTATTCTGAAACCATATATGTGTGGTTATGCCCTGGGAACACAGATTGAGGTTACTCCAAGTTCCCTGTTCCAATGTGGTAGCAGTTTCATGACATTTGTATGATAACAGAGCAAAGAAAGTCACATATCAAGGAGTTTAAAAAATATATTGGTAGGCACAATAAGTAGGTGGTTAAAGCAAAGTAGAAAAATAACAGTTATAGGTCTTAGATGCTATGTTGTGGCTCTTAGCCTTTTGGTTGGTGAAAATGAGGGTTTTGTTATGTTAGTACATTCCAAAAGGATTTTTATTTGTTAACCATAGAATGTTAGGTCCAACACAGAGGGAGGCATGGAATGGGTCTTTAAGGAATAAAGATAGTCCAAGATAAATTATATTTAGGGTCCAAAACATTCCAAATTTTAATCAGTTGATTAGCCTTTGCAGACAGCTTCTTTCTAGGAATTCTCATTCACGTTTTATTGTTTATTTATTAGTGTTTGTGGAGTGTGTATGTAGGTTAGAGGGCAGCTTTGTGGGTCGGCTCTTTCTTCTACTTTTACATGTTCCAGAGATCTAACACAGGCCATTAGGCTTGCATGACAAGGGCTTTCCTTGCTCGGCCATCTCACTGGCCTCTTTTGTATTTGTCCCTAATTTTGTTTTATTCTTAGCTCTTATTCTTATATATATTTATTGTCAGCTCTTTTCCCAATGTTTTTCTAATCACTTTTTGTTTGATGATGCTTGTCTACTATATTTGTTAAAAAGGTGTTAAAAGTATAACATTTCCTGAGTTCTTGAATGTTTTATGCTATTTTTCTGTAGTCCTGGTACCTATTTTTGCCTTGTAATTCTTTAGTATACTGCCTTTGGTTCTTTTGTTTTTGCTTTTGTAAGCTGATTTTAGAATATCTAATCTCTCCCCAGCCTCTCCCTGTACCACCCCCACCCCCCACGCACCCTGAGACAGAGATTCTTGGTGTAGCCTTAGATGCCCTGGAACTCACCCTGTAGACCAGGCTGGCCTTGAACTTACAGAGATCCACTTGCCTCTGCCTCCTGAGTGCTGGGATTAAAGTTGTGCACCACCACTGCCCAGCTTAACTTTCATTTTTGAGGGTCAGTTATTATGTTTGTCAGTCTGAACATTTTAGGACTTTTTCTTTTATTTGCTTAGCATTTACTGTAGGATATTTCTGGAATTGATTGTTTAGGCCATTAGGGAATGGTAGGCACTTTTATGATTTTTCATCCCTCTCCCCACCTGAAAATTTTCTTGGGCTACAGTTTAATGTTTTTTTTTCTTCTTCATGATCCCTAACTATGCATATATTAAGTCATCTTTGCCTGTGTTTTCTCGCATCTGCTTTCTCCTAGATTTTTTTTAATTGCTTTATATTTCTTTTTTGGTTATCTTGATTATTGTTTGGTCTATTTTTAGTGCTACTTATTAAGTTTTGTTGTCGTTGTTTTAAGTCAGGATCTCTCCACAGAGCTCTGGCTGTCCTGGAATTCACTGTATAGACCAGGCTGTCTCCAAACTCCTAGAAACCCACCTGTTCTCCTTCTCAAGTGTTCCTTGTTAAGTTTTGAGGTGGAGTGGGGTTGGTGTGTGTGTGTGTGTATATATATATATATATATTAAAATGACTTTGTAGACTTCTTTTTCTTTCTTTCACCAACCAACCAGTGGCCAAAGAATGATTTACAATAAATGAATATATTGAATTCAAACAGTTCCTGATTCATGTGTCTCTGATCTTGGGTGGATGTCAACTAGTATTTTGGAGATTGGCCAATTTGTATGTGAATCTGTGTATCTGATAGGTGATCATGTCAGTATATTATACATTTTTATTTTTATGGTTTGATTGGTTCTAGATCTTGCACGTTTTTATTTGTTTATGTTTGTTTGTTGTTTTCAATACAGGGTTTCTCTGCATAGCTCTGGCTGTCCCGGACTCATTTTGTAGACCAGGCTGGCCTGGAAACTCATAGAGATCCATGTGTCTCTGCCCCTCTAAGTGCTGGGATTACAGGCGTGTGCCACCATGCCTGGATGGATGCTTTTTTTTTAATTGAGAAAAGGACCTTCTGTGATATCTTATGTATAGCATTATTAATAATCACTGATAATTCAAAGGCTTCTACTAAACAAAAGGAAATATAGAAGAAATGGTGAAATTATACTTTTAATGTCATTTAATCTGATCATATTTCTTATTTATAACAGGAAACAAAAGAGGAGAATGGATTGCAGAAAATGAAGGCAAAACAGTCAAACAGATCAAAGTGTTTGGCTAAAAGAAAAATTGCACGTATGTTTTCATTTTTTAATTGAATTGATAGAGTGTTTTTATTAGGAAAACATAATTCTCTAAGGATGTGTATGCTTCCTGTTCTGAATTGTTTTAAACGTTTGCGAGTTTCTTAGAGAGTTACTTTCTGCGTAGACATTTGACTTGCTAGTGTAAGACTGTTGAAATTATAAGTGTGATCCTCATGGCTAGGTATACCTATTAGAGCACTTAAATTGCTACCCACCCCTGAAAGATTGTTTTATGTGTCTTAAGTGCTTGCTTGTATGTACTGGTACCAGAAGAGGGAGTAAGTCTCCTGGAACTGGAGGTACAAATGATTTTTACTACTGTTTGAGTGTGGGACTGAGCCCAGGTGCTCTGCAGGGGCAGCACGTGCTCTTACCCATCAAGCTATCTTTCCATCCCTCTTTTCTCCCTTTACTATGTCGGTCTTAAACAAATTGCAGCTTTCTGCTGACCTCTGTTCTTCAGTTAAAGGCATGGTTGAGAGATGATGTGAACTTTTGTGTTGATAAAAACTTGAAGTTTAATGTGCACTGGTCAGAATTATTAGTGTTAGCTTAGATAGGTAATTCTGCCATGGGTGGTGGCAGGGCTTTGTCAAGACAACGAGCTTAAATCGGTGCATGGTGTCATGGTCCAGGACTGACTGGGCTGGAGCAATACAAATGGACGGTGTCACAGAAGTAGAGGCTGCAGACTGAGAGTTCAGAATCATCCCCAGCTACACAATGAATGGCCCAGGCTGGCTGCACTACAGTTCCGGATGTTTCCCCACCTTGGAGCACAGGAAGTTCTTTGCTTTGATTAGAGAGTTAGGTGTGCAGTAGGTGGCTGAGATGTATTGGTACGAGAAACTGATTTGTTCATGCCTCACGTTGGGGCCCTGTGCTTCAGCTCATGAACAGAAGTGGGGCCAGAGGTTTGGGCTTTTGGTTGACCCATCTAAACGTATTGGGCAGTTCTTGGAAAGGGCATCCTTAAGTAGTTGCACAGATGTGTACTTCAGATTATTAATTTCTAGTAAAATTATATCTTTAGAAAACTCATTTGAAAAGGGAAAGTCTCAGCCATTTTTCTGTGCTGACATTTGTTTCTGCAGCAGGTTGTGATGGCACACACCTTCAATCCCAGCACTCAGGGAGCAGAGGCAGGCAGATCACTGTGAGTTCCGAGGCCAGCCTGGTCTACAAAATGAGTCCAGGACAGCCAAGGCTACACAGAGAAACCCTGTCCCAAAACCCTGACTCCGGCCCCCCCCAAAAGAAATTTGTTTCTGAAAACAAAAGCGATGACACAAACTACATTCCCCAAATTAAAGAGCTTGAAGACTGGCTTCTAGGGAGTGTTTTCTGATTCAAATTTGATAAAAATGAATGAATACTGTTCACCTTTCTCAGTAAATAATGTGGGAGAGAAGAGTTGCAGGTGGAACTGCAAGGGAACACTCAGTGAGAACCAAGTAAGATGCCACTGGAAACGCTTAATTCTACAAATATCTTGAGAATGGTTATCTGGACTATAAAAACCATTGTATGTGATTTTGTGCATGTTTGGAAGTACGTAAATTTGTGAGCAGTTATTTTTCTGTTATGAGACTAGGTAAAACTGTTATTGGTCCTGATTAAAGGACTCAAAGGGAGAGTTCTTTGCTGTGCATTGCTGCACAAAGATTCACAGCCTGAAATCTCTTATACTTCTGGATATGAGCGAGAGATGTCAGATTTCAACTTTAAGGAGTGAAAAATGATGAAATTGAGGTTATTTTTATTTTTAAGTTACAGTTTTTCTGTTTTTTATTTGGAGCACAGGTTGCCATTGTATATGCGTGATATACCTTGTATCACTGTCCTGCTTAGGCTTATTTTATTGTGACAAACACTGTGACCAAAAGCAGCTTGAGGAGAAAAATGGCTTTACTTGACTTATACTTCCATATCATGGTCCATCATTGAAGGAAGTCAGGGCAGGAACTCAAGCAGGATAATGGAAACAGGCACTGGAAGCCGACTGTGGAGGAATGCTGTGTTCTGTCTGTCTCCTGATGGCTTGCTTATCTTGCTGTTTTATACTCGACCACCTGCCTGGGAGTCATTAATTAGGAAAATGCTGCATAGACTTGCTTATAAGCAAATCTGATGCAGGGATCTTCTCAGTTGAGGTTCTCTCCTTTAGATGACTGTTGGCTTGTATCAAATTAACAAAAGAACCAGCCAGCACAACCATATAAAATAAATTGAATTATACTTCAAAATAAAGTCAAGAACAGAAAAGAGAAATTGTATTTAAGGAAAGAATATGAGAAAGTGTATGCAAAGAAAATAGGTAATTTGAACTTTGTGGATAAATTCTTAGGAAGACACAAACAAAAACTGACTCAAAAAGTAGAAAATTAAAATACAAATAGTATAATAAAAAATCGAATTAACAAAAACAGCTGTAAACAAAAAGACAGGTTTGATGGCTTCATGGTTGAACTCTGTTAAAAATAAATATTAGTAGTAGTTCTTCTTAAACTCCTACAGATGTTAGGTGATGAGAAGATACCGCCCAATATATTCCTTAAGTCTGATACCAACTCCATGAGAGATATCACAAGAAAACTAAAGACTGAAACATATTTTTTAAAGATTTATTATTTGTACAGTGTTCAGCCTGCATGTATGCCGTCAGGCCAGAAGAGGGCACCATATCTCATTATAGATGGTTGTGAGCCACCATATGGGTGCTGGGAACTGAACTTAGGACTTTTGGAAGATCAGCCAGTGCCCTTAACCTCTGAGCCATCTCTCCAGCTTCCATAAGACTGATAAGAATGTAGAAGCAGCCTGGGCATGGTGGTGCACACCTTTAATCCCAGCATTCAGGGAGGCAGAGGCAGGCAGATCAAGGCCAGCTTGGTGTACGTAGTCCAGGGAAGCCTAAGCTACACAGAGAAACCCTGTCTCGAATCCCACCCCCAAACAACAGCAACAGCAAAAGAAGAATGTGGAATCAGGTGAAGACATGGGTGCTAGCCTCTCACAGGCTGCAGCACTTGAAAATGGGCCCTGCATTTTGACTGGGCAGTACATTGGAGCTAGCCCTGGAAGCATGGGTGCCAGTGAGCCACCCTGAGAGCACGAGAGCAGGAGACCCTGTCTCCTGCTGTTGGTGGCACTGGGTGGCTTAGCAGGAGCAGTGCAGGAGAGCTCACCTTGGTGGTGGATAAAGAAGAGCTGGAGCTCTGACCAGTTCAGCTACCACCCAGGGCCACCCTCGAATCTATATCAACTTCTGTTGGGACACGTGAAAGGGCTGGTCCTGCTGATCCAAAGATGCAGGATCTCCACACACAGGGCAACAACAGGATAACTGGGAGGAGGCCAGTGAGCATCCAATATTGATGAGGTCACAGAAGCCAGACATCTTGAATCAGACCCATGACTCACTGGTTTGAACATTTCCAAGGGAAGATGTGTGGACGGAAGGATGCTGTGGGACACAGTGGGACACTCTACAGCTTCCACGCTGGGATGTTTTCTGTGCTTTGTTTTTCATTTTGTGGGGGGAGATTGCAAGAGTGAAGGGCGGGTATGAGGGGATGGGGTGCATGATATGAAACTAACAAAGAATAAAAAGTTAAAAGGATGTAGATGCAAAAATTGCGTTATTGCTTGGAATTGAACTCAAGGCTTTATGTTAAGTAAGCACTCTGCCAACTGAGCTACATCTTTTATCTTTTTTCGTATAAGAATTACGCACTCATAAATTTTGCTGTAAAAATTCCTTTAGCTTTACCTCTTAAGTTTTGAAAATATGTATCTTCACTTTCATTCATCTCCAGAGTTTCTTCTCCTTTTTTTTGTGTTTTGAGGCAGGGTTTCTCTGTAACAGAGCCCTGGGTGTTCAGGACTCGCTTTGTAGACCAGGTTGGCCTGGAACTCACAGATATCTCCTGCCTCTGCGTCCTGAGTGCTGGGATCAAAGGTGTGTGCCACTCTGCCTTGCCAACCTCAGAGTTTCTTAGTAGTTCTCTCATGTTCTTTATTTATGGCATCCTGAGTGTGTTCAGTGTCCAAAGTCTTATTTCCTGAGGATACTAATAATTATTAGTGTTTTTTGTTATTACTTTTTCACATTTTACTTCAGATTTTAGACCTTCATATTAAAAGATTTCCTTTTGATATCTGGTAGGTTGTCTTTTGATTGCTTAGATTTAAAAGGAGGAAATCTAAACTGATTTGAAATGCTGTATCTATCTATTGGGGGTACCTGTGTGTATATCAACCTAACATGTTAAGATTGTTTTTGGAGATTTTTTTGTAGCATATTAAAATTTATTTACTTTTGACAATTTCATACATGTATATAATGCATTCTTATCATCTTCACTTGTACTTCTCTTTTCCCTGTCCAACTCATCCATCCTGCTTTCTCTACAAATCCCTTTCCTGTTTTCATGTCTTTTGTTTTGTGACTATGTTAGTCAGGACTCTCTAGAGGAGCAGAGCTAATAGAATGAGTGTGTGTGTGTGTGTGTGTACGCATATAGCGTTTATTAGAGTGGTGGTGGTCCAGCTAGTCTAACAGTGGCTGTCTCCCAGTAGAAAGCGCAAGAATCTAGTAGTTGTTCAGTTGCCCAGCTCTAGGCAGGTCCTTCCTACCTCAAATGATCCAGTTAACTAAAAGTCCCGCACAGCTATGCCTAGCTGCTTATTTTTAGATATAATCAAGTTGATAACCAAGACTAGCTATTGCAGAGACCTGCTGAGTTTAGCTAGGGTTGTCCTTGTGAGGATGGTGCAGAGCTGTGCACCGGAGCATGGGCTGGTTATGTGACTGAAGACGTAACTCGTCCAGCATGTGTCAGGTCTCCTTATGTAGAAGGCATGGAATGAGGGGTTGGGAATGCGCTTGCTGTGTTTTAATCAATAGGACAATGCAGTTATCAATAAGGATATTACAGTGGATTCCAGTTCAATTTTAAGACAGTAATTTTGTTTTCCACATTTGCTACTAAATCTTTTTCTATGACCCTAGGACTGTATGATAATTTCTTTGCTAACTGTTCTAGGAAGTATTCTAGCTTATCTTGCACATTTCATGATCTAGACTTGGAATCAGCCATTTCTCCAGTGTACTACAGTTACCGTTAGTGGAAAATAATATTTGACCATCAGAATTTGATAACTAAGGATTTGTTAAATTGAATAAATGAGAAGATTCTGAGATCTGGGGATGTCTGTGGTTCAGTTGATAAGAATGTGTGCTGGCATGAAGTCTTGGTTGGATTAACCATCACCATAGAAAGTAGGTGGTACACATCTATAGTTCTAGTGTAACTCGAGGCAGAAGTCAGGGTCATCCTCAAGGCCAGCCTGGGCTCAGACCCATCTTAAAAACACAAAGATTCTGAAGAATAAAATCATTCTGGTTAAACGTTGCGCATAAAGCAGTGGGGTATCAGCAGTGCATCAAAGCAGATGCTGAGACTCATAACCAAGTGCAGAGTATAGGGAATCATATGAAAGAAGGGGGAGTTAATATGGGAGAGGACAGGAGCTCCATAAGAACCAAATATATCTGGGCACAGGGGTCTTTTCTGAGACTGATTCTCAACCAAGGACCGTGCATGGATATAACCTAGAACCCGTGCTTGGATATAGCCCATGACAGCTCAGTATCCAAGTGGGCACCCTAGTAAGGGGAACAGGGACTGTCTCTGACATGAACTCAGTGGCTGGCTCTTTGACCTCCCCACCCTCTATGGGAGGAGCAGCCTAGCTAGGTGACAGAGGAGGACATTGCAGCCAGTCCTGATGAGACCTGATAAGCTAGGGTAAGTGGGAGGGGAGGAGGACCTCTCCTATCAGTGGAGAGGGACAGGGAGGAGATGAAAGAGGGAGGGTAGGATTGGGAGGAAATGAGGGAGGGGCTACAGCTGGGATACAAAGTAAATAAAATATAATATAAAAAAAAATTTAAAAAAGATTTATTAAAAAAGCAGTGGGGTATTTAGTGGAAAAAAAAAAAAGACTCTAAAGTGGTGTCTGTTTCACCTAACAGATACTGATTGCCAGGCACTCTTATGTGCTGGAGCTACAATAATGAACAGTATAGGTTAACACTTTGCCTTCATGAGGCCTTAGGCCCAGTTAACCCAGAATTATTGTAACTGAATATATATATATATATATATATATGTGTGTGTGCGTGCGTGCATGCGTGCGTGCGTGTGTGTGTATCAGAAATTTATTTATTTATTTGGGGGGGTTCAAGACAGGCTTTCTCTGTGTTGCCTTGCTGTCCTGGGACTTTATAGACCAGGCTGCCTCAAAATTCACAGAGATCTGCCTGTCTCTGCCTTCTGAATGCTGGCATTAAAGGCGTGTGTCACCACTGCCCAGCATGCTACTAATGATCTTGACCACACTTTGCCTTATGTGACTTTCCTTATTAGAGTACAAATCATAGTAAATGGGTTACGGCATTATCAGTTGATAGCTTAATGGTTCTGTTTTTTTGCCTTTGTGCTAATTTGCTGATTGTGGTATTCTTCTCTTCCCTACACTTTAACAGAGATGTCAGAAGAAGAACAATTTGCTTTGGCTCTCCAAATGAGTGAGCAGGAAGCTAGGGAGGTGAACAGCCAGGAGGAGAAAGAAGAGGAGCTTTTGAGGAAAGCCATTGCTGAAAGTCTGAATGTAAATATGCTACACTGAAAGTTTGTGGGGTTTATTAATAATGTTTTTGGTTACTTAGTGGGTGGTATAGTTGTATTAGAAACAAGTTGTGGTGGTTTATAGGGTTTTCAACTAATAACTGTCAGTATTTTTTTTAAGTCCCTGTTGTTGAGTTGCTGGTTAATCCAGTTTGAAGTTTTTTTGTTACCATATGAATTTGCTTCCACTCATCAGATTTTTCAATCAGTAGCTTAAAAGGATCATAGAAAGTGGGTAGTTTCTGAAGAGTTATAGAATACCAAGAGTTTTAAAAGTTTCAAGGTCAGCTGTTTACCTCCCTCATTTGTAGGGACAGCAAAGAAAATGAGAGAAAGAATGGGCAGTTTTAAAAATAATCAAAAACCTGGGGTGGTGGTGGTGCACGCCTGTAATCCCAACACTCAGAAGGCAGAGGCAGGCAGATCTCTGAGTTTGAGGTCAACCTGGTCTATTGAACAAGTTCCAGGACAGCCAGGGCTACACAGAGAAACCCTGTCTCAAAAATGCAAAACCAAACCAAACAGATAAATCCAAATAATATTAAATTATGATGTAAAAATATGCAATAAAAATTATTCTAAATAATAATGATGCTTGCCAGTGGCAGATTCCGAGCCATCTTTGATTCTGTTTGCTTAGCTTGTTTGTTTGAGCTGGAGTCTCCTAGACTTGAACTTTCAACTTGGAAGTTCAAGTCGTCCCTCCCCGCAACCTTCTGAGAAGTTTATGACTACAGGCATATATCACGTGTGAGGGAATGTGTCTAATCTGGACCATTCTTCACACTGTTCATCCTCCAAATTAGGACCAGGGTAGTAAATGTATATCGGTGCTCACTTTGCGCTAGGGACCCGTTTGAATTGAGCACCTGTCTTCTGAAGAGGAGAGACTCCCAGGGAGAGGCCTCCCGTCTCTGTCCTCCCTGTGACTCTTCATACACAGCTGTGTTAATAACAAACCTGTTCTGCTATGGGATCACTTGTTTCAGAGTTGCTGGTCTTCTGAGGCTTCTGCTATCAGATGTCGACCTCTGGCTGCTGGACCATCTTCACATTCCCATCAAGAAAGCACCAAAGACTCTGGAGCCGCTGAAGGCATGTCTCCTGTTCTGACTCCTCCTCCTCATCAAGTGTCATGTGTCGCAGGGACCTTCTGCTGAGAGTAGAGTCAGAGATGCCCCAAATCCTTGCTATGATGTTAAAGAGGTTCAAACAGAAATAGTTGAAATTTCTTTAATTTAAGTCAGCATACTCTTATCTCCAAGGAAAAACCACCCTTTGGCTAAAGCCAAAGAAGGGCTTTTCATAACTACATTTTGTAATTCTTGGTAAGTGATAGCTTACCAAACTGTCTTAATTAAAAAAAAATTTTTTTTTTTGTCCTTAGCCCTACTTTTTCTCAAATACCTACAGGCACATGGCAGCTGGCACCTCCATCACTGTTTAAAGGCTCACATGTCAGTCAGGGAAACGAGGCTGAGAAAGGAGAGGAGCCCTGGGACCACAATGAAAACACTGAAGAGGAGCCGGTCTCTGGCAGCTCAGGAAGCTGGGACCAGTCAAGCCAGCCAGTGTTTGAGAATGAGAACGTTAAATGTTTTGACAGATGTACTGGCCACTTGGCTGAGCACACACAGTGTGGGAAGCCACAGGAAAGTACTGGGAGCGGTTATGCTTTTTCCAAAGCTGTCCAGGGTCGGGGGGACACATCTAGGCAATGTCTTCCCATCCCAGCAGACTCCACAGCTCTCCAGGACATTGGGGGCACTGTGCACTACTACTGGGGTATTCCATTCTGCCCGGCTGGAGTAGATCCTAATCAGTACACCAGGGCCATTCTCTGCCAGCTGGAGGTTTATCAGAAGAGCCTGAAAATGGCCCAGAGGCAGCTTTTGAAAAAAAGAGGGTTTGGGGAACCAGTATTACCTAGACCTCCTTTTCTGATTCAGAGTGAATGTGGCCAAGAAGATCAGACTAGTGAAAAAAATGAAGGCATCTCAGAAGATATGGGAGATGAAGCCAAAGAGGAAAGGCAGGAATCTAGGGCATCTGTCTGGCACTCAAAAACCAAGGATTTTCAAAAAAGTCCAATTAAAAGCTTGAAACAGAAACTTTTGTTGGAGGAAGAACCAACAACCAGTCATGGTCAGGTAAGGGTCAGTGGTGCTGTAACTAAGGATCGTTTATTCACAGATAAACTTTTGTGGTCTTTCCCTCTACCTGCTTAAGGATAGCACATGCTCACTAAGATGAGAAAGTGACAGAGAAAGGAGCCTGGATGTGGTGGTGCAAACCTGTAACTCCAGCGCTGCGGAGGCGAGGCAGCCTGGCCAGCCGTGGCTACACTGTGAGACCTTGTATCAAAGAGAAAATTACAGTCAGTATCTGCAAAAGGCTATTACTACCAAAAGGCCATCATCATTTCTATACACAGAACACATTTTTAAAACTTTGTTAGCAAAATGGAAATTCTTCTGCACAAACTTTGTTCATTTCTTTTACTTTATAATTTATCAGAGATTATTTTGTACTTATCAGATACACATCAAAACATCATTATTCCATCTTGTGCATGTATACTATATTTTTTCAAACTTTGTATGTTTAAAACGTTTTTCTGCAGATAATGTTTTAAAATATTCAAGGAAATGCAAATTAAAAATAAATTTATCTTTCAGCTATACCTTCTAGCCAGACATTTTTTCCTTCTGAATTCAATCCATGCTACTAATCTTTAGTGTATCCTTCCATGATATTTTATGTAATATAAAAAAAATACATACTCCCCCCCCCCCTTTTTTTTTTTTTGACAAGTGTTAATGTAAAAACCACTGCTCTTAGCTGGGCAGTGGTGGCACATGTCTTCTTTAATTCCAGCACTCTGGAGGCAGAGTCTGGGCGGGGGGGGGGGGGGGGGGGGGGGGGGGGGGGGGCCTCTGTGAGTTCGAGGCCAGCCTGGTCTACAGAGTGAGTTCTAGGACAGCCAAGGCCATTTAGAGAAACCCTGTCTTGAAAAGCCAAACCAAACTAGACCAAACCAAAGACAGCTCTCATCTCAGAAGGCGTAAGTATTAGTTTATTCTGCAGCCAAAATGGTTTGCTACAGCCCAGGGACACAGATTTAGGTAACCCTAAATTCATGCTCTAGCAAGGCATCAGTTTTATGAAGGTTTTATAGTAACTGAAAAAATAAAGTTACAGATCAAAACACTTTTCAAGGGACTGGAGAGATGGCTTAGTGGTTAAGAGCACTTGCTGTTTTTCCAGAGTACCTGGGTATTAGCCCCAGCTCTTCTAGCTTCATCCATGTGATTGAACATTTGTGTCTTCTGGGGATACCAGTACTCAGTGTACACACACCCACATGCAGACACACCTTTACACGATTAAAAATAAGGAAAATAACTATATTTTTAAAAAATTCCGTTTTTCAAATACATTGGTGGGAACGTCAGTAGATAGAGTCCACTAAAATGGGGAAACATCTGTCTAGGTCTCAGATACTGTCTGATAGCATTCCTAGCTTTTGGGTTGGTGGAAGCTAGGGGTCTGCTTACAATATTCCATTACCTAATAGTCACAAGAATGTTGAGTCACACACATAAGTGAGCAATCAATGGCTGCTTTGGAGCTAAGAACATTTGGTTCTAGGCATGCAGCATTGGAGTGTGTTCACAGTCATTGAGGTTATTGTCACTTAAACAGCCTTGTGGAAGAGTCAGCGCCGGTGTAGCTTTTTCTGGGAACTTAGTTCGTAGAGGTTCCGTGTAGCCCAGGCTGGCCTCAGATGACCTTGAACTTGTGATCCTTCTTGCCTCTATCTCACTGGGGTTACAGGCAAGTATTGTTATGCTGTGCTTTATGTAGTGCAGGGGATGGCCTCCGGACTTCATGCATGCTAGACAAGCATTGCCAACTGAGATCCGCCCGTAGCTCCCTGCCTTTCATTTACACAAATGATAGTTTACTACACATATTACTTTGCCCTGTTTTATACAGTAACTCTGATGTCATTCTCTAACGATACTCAATTTGCAGCCCCTTCCTTATTTGGAGATACGGGGTATACTGTATTGGATAAACCATAGCTTACTCAGCCGACAGATGAACATGTAAGTTGTCTCTAACATTTTCCTGTCCCACGTAGTACTATATTCTTGAACAGAGAACATTTCATCCACATGGGAGATACTTGTAGGATAATTTTCTGTAGAGACAATGGGTGGACCAGAGGGTGCTTACATGTACAGTTCTGTTAGCTATTACCTAGTTGTCACCTGTAGAAGATACATACATGTGCATTCCCATCAGAGGTGTTTTTGAACACGAGTTCCTCAAGCCTGCACCAGCACGGTGTTGAGACTGACTGATATTTCCTGATACAAGAGCAGAAACAAATCTCTGTGTTGTGTTTTTAAGTTACAGTCTGTTTTTGTGCACGCACACTCTGCTGGGCGCACAAGTGTGGTAGTGTGTGCGCTGTGCCAGGCCGAGGACGGGGCCTGTGAAAGGAGCCTGTGACATGCTCCACACAGCTTGCCCACTTACTCGTTTTCATCATGACACTTTTCTAATTTTAACTTCTGCTGACTCTCTGTCTCTCTCTCTCTTTTTTTTTTTTTTTTTTTGTTTTTTTTGTTTTTGTTTTTTGAGACAGGGTTTCCCTGTGTAGCCTTGTCAGTCCTGAACTCGCTTTGTAGACCAGGCTGACCTTGAACTCACAGAGCTCTGCCAGCCTCTGCCTCATGAGTGCTGGGATTAAAGGCGTGAGCCACCACTGCCCGGCTTGGTGACCTTACCTGATGAAAGCAATTTCCATTTTGAGACATTTATGTTGTCTTCGTTTATTTCTGAAATGGCTATAGATAGTGTTAGTATGGGCATGTGTATTTTGTTTCTTTCTCTTCCTTTAAAACTATTTAAAGGTAGAAACTGTTATTCCCGTTTTTAGATCTATTAAAATCGAGATTAGATGACTAAAGACTCACAATTACTAAACTATAAAAGTCAAAACTGTGCTGTTAGGAATACTTCTAAGAGCTACCTTTATTGTGAGGAAAACCAAACGAGTACAGTAACAAGAGAAACTAAAAAATTCAAAGTCAAAAATAGAAATAGCAATAAGAACACTTTAGTTAGAAAATAGGATGCTCAAAAAATTGTGCTTGATAATGAGTTTGTAGTTGCATGACGCTTTGTAATATTCAGAAGGAAGTTAGGGATGGTTGTGAGCTGCCATGTCGGTGCTGAGAACTTAAGCTGGGCCCTTTGCAAGGACAGCCAGTGTTGCTAATTGTTGAGCTGTCTCCTCAGCCTCGCTTTAACTCACTTTCAGAGTTAAAGTGAATTTCTGTAAAGTGCCTAGTGCAGCACTTAGAGGCTGCCCACAGGGACCTTCCTTCTTTAACAGTACTTCTCCTGGTCCTGGCACATATGTGTGTGTACATGGTAGAGGTTGGAGGCCATTGTCTTTGTTGCTTTCCCTTACTTAAAACAAACAAACAAAAAAAGCAACACACTGTAAAAAAAATTATGTAGTTATTTAAGGGGGTTGCTACAACAGGCGAGTGAGAGTCAGAGAACTTTTGGGGATCAGTTCCTGGTCAGTTGGTTGACTTGGGGTAGTGAACTCTGGGTCTCTAGCAGTACAAGCTCTTAACTTGTGAGCCCCAGTTCCCTAATGCAACAAAAGTCTGTTTGCGGGACACTAGGTGTCACTGTTCCCCCTTTTTTTTTCCAAAGGAAAAAAATTCATTAGTTCAGAGAGTTGGGTGCATTATTTTATTTTCCTGTGTTTTAACGAAAAGGTTTTTTTTTTTTTAGAAATTTATTTTATTTATTTTATTTTATTTTGTGTGTAGGTCAAATGATAACTTGTGGGGAGTCACTTCTCTCCTTTTGCAATATGAGTCCCAGGGATGGAACTCAGATTGTCAGGCTTGGTAGCCAAGTGCCCTTTTCTGCTGAGCCATTTTGCTGGCCTCCTGCTGCTATATTTTAGTTTATACAGTATTGTTCAACTTTGATTTGTCATGCCTACATTTCCAGTCATTATACAATTTTCCTTTTGATTATAGGTTCAGTTTTCTTCCCTTTTCTTCCTCCTCTCATTTCTTTTAAATTTCATCATTTATTAGAATCATAGAGGGATGCCTAACTTTAGGTATTGATAACATGTTCAGAAACCCTGAGAACTTTATGAATAACCAAAGAAGCTTTCCCTGGAAGAGGCTTCAGCCCGGGGTATTGTATCAGAAAGCCCACTTAGGGCAGCATTAGCTGCTTTCTTCATGGGACTCACTATTAGACCAGGCCACAAACTCACAGAGATCTACCTGCCTCTGCTTCCCAAGTGCTAGTATAAAAGGCATGGTCCACCATGCCTGCTCCTTGTTTTAGTCTTATTACTAACTGTTAAATGACAGTTTTGAATAGTTAATTTTTTGGAGGAAGAACGAGGGCTGAGGAGAACACTTAGTTGGAACTGATTGGCGTGCAAGCACGAGGATCTGAGTTTCAGTTCTAGAACCCATGTATGAAAAAGGCTGAGTGTGGTGCCTGACATACTCAAGTCCAGCACTGGAGGGCTGGAGATATGTGGATGGATACTTGGGCTAACCAGCCAGCTTAGACAGTGAGGAAGGCTGTCTTAAGAGACAAGGTTGCCAGGCGTGGTGACAAACGCCTTTAATCCCAGCACTCTGGGAGGCAGAGGCAGGCACATTGTTGAGAGTTTGAGGCCAGGACAGCCAAGGCTACAGAGAAACCCTGTCTTGAAAAATAAAACAAAGAAAGAAACAAAAACCAAAATGAAAGATAAGGAAGGAAGGAAGGTGGTAGGTGCTTGTTCCCACCTAGAGAGAGGAGCTGATAACCTATGTGGTCCTCAGATCTTACGTGGTAGAAGCTGAGAACTGACTCCCGCAGCTTGTCCTTGACCTCCACGTGTGCGCCAGTGATGTGTGCACCCTTCCCCCAAATGCACACTAATGAGTGTGAAACAGCAGAGAACCAAGGTGGGTATGGCTTAGTATGGTGGGTCTGTGAACGCACTGCTCTCCACACAGTGAGACTGTTACAAGGAAAGATGGCTTCTGAGGAACCAGACCCCGCTGGTCTTTGGCTGCCACCTGCACATATGAAACACGCAACAGAGGAAGGAGTAAGCTCACCTGTGTGTTCAGGGTGTTTCTTGTTTCTTTACAGCCTTCCCAAGGTCTGTTTGTTGAAGAAACTTGTGAAGAAGTTCTGAAGAGTTCTGAAGGTGGTGACTCTGTGCCTGCCTCACAAAGGTGAGGCTGTGTTCTGCTGTGGGTCTCAGGTGTCTTCCTCCCGTGTGAGCCGAAGGAAGATGAAGCCCTTGAAAGGCACTGTATACATGGAAAACTTGCCAGGGAACTTTTATTTCCTTTATGTGAGGAGGCTGGAAGTCATTTTTAGCTGTAAGTTTGCATCCCTTAGAAGCCTAAAATATTAAGCGTGGAGGAGATCATAAAGGTTCCCTACCCACTGCAGTCATCTTGGCACAGATCTCATGGTTTATTGCTTACTGTTCTCTAATCTATCCTGACTTCCTGGACTGTTTCTTTATGGCTTGTCTTCCTGTCTTCTTTCTGTGTTTCTTTCTAGTTATATGACTTTTTTCTTTCAGATTAGCCAACAGAATAATAGGTTTCATGTCATCTTCATATATTTCTTGCACTGTTCTCATTCATTTCCCTCCCTCACTGTCTTCTCTGTGTCCCCTCCCCTGTCCAGCTATTTTCTCTTTCTTCAGGTTAGTCCATAATTCTATTTCTTCCCTCTCTTCTCCCCCTCAACACCCTCTTTTTTTTAGACAGGGTTTTTCTCTGCAGGCCTGGCTGTCCTGGAAATCACTTCTTGAACTCATAGAGCTCTGCCTGCCTGCCTTGCCTCTGTTCTCCTCTCTCCTAAAGTCTCTTCTTCTCCTCTCATAATCCCCCTTACTGGTTTCCAGCTGTACAGGTAGACATTACATGTATTTGTACATGTTAGATGTTTATACTAAGTATCTAAGTTTATGTTGTGGGCATTTATATACTGTGTATGTAAACCTAGGTTTTGCATCTGAGAGAACATGATGTGCTCTTTGTTTTCTGAATCTGGCTTATTTTAACAATGACCTTGCATACATTTTTTTCCTACAAATGTTATGATTTTATTTTTTAATAGCTGTATTAAAAAGTATTCCATTGTGTCTATGTACCATGTTTACCCATACACTGGTGGAAGTCTAGGCTGACTCCATTTCCTGGTTGTTGTGAATACTGTGACTTTAAACATGGTATGCAAGAACTTCTGTGGTGTGTTGACTTGGAGCTCTTCAGATGCGTGCCCAGGTGTGGTGTAATGTAGCTAGGCTGTATGTAATTCTGTTGCCCTTTTTCTCTATCCCTCCTTCTCTCCTCCCTCCCTCCCTTCCTCTTCTCTTTCTTTCCATCTTTCTTTCTTGAGATCTCTATCCTGATAGTGGCTATAAATTTTAAATTTCCCTCTGTTTTACCAGCATTTGTTTTTTGCATTCTTGGTAGCCATTCTGGCTGGAGTGAGATAGAAATGAAAGGTAATTTTCTTTTTTCTCCCCCCCGCCCCCCGACAGAGTCTCTGTACATAGCTCTGTCTGTTCGGGTACTTACTCCATAAGCCACGGAGAGCCATCTGCCTTTGCCTTCCAAGTGCTGGGACTAAAGACTGAGCCACCATGCCCAGTAAATTGTTCCTTTTAACAGATAACCTTTTATGTCTTCTGAGTAATTGTGGTTTGAAGTATGCTTTGTCAACAATCAGAATTGCTCTACCACCTTGTTTTTGGTTTCTAATTGCTTGAGTTTTCCATCTTTTGGCTTTCCCTGGAGACAACAGAAGGTTGGAGTAAGTCAGACAATCCGTATTTCTTTATTAGTGAATCGAGGCCATTTATATTTAAAGTTATTATAATGAGATATTTATTAATTCCTGTAATTTTGTTGGTTGTTTTATGGTTGGATGGATTGCTATTTGTTTTTGCTTCCCTGTTAGTGTCATGAGCTTGCTGGTTTACAGTGTTGGGCATGATGGGTTTTTTCCTAGATCTTCTTTGTTTAGCCATTCCTCTCCTAAAATTTATTCTTTCCTGTGCTCTTGTCATTGAGACTGCTTTTCTTTTGTTCGTGTGTAGTGTTTATTTAAATATCTTCCGCAGTGCCGGCTTGATGGTCATGGAACTGCCTCAGTTTGGGCTTTCCTTGAGTTGTTATTTTTTCTTGCGTTTTTAATTTATGTTCACTTTTAAAAGGCAGCTTCGCTGGATATGACGTTCTTGGCGGCAGTTATTTCAGGGCTTAAAATAGGTCTTTCCACGCTCACCTCGCTTTGAACAGTGCTAATGAGAAACTTATATTATTTTGATGGTTTTGCTTTCATAGGTGAGTTGGGGTTTTTCCTTTCTGGTTTTTAAAATTGTTTTTTGCTCTGTATTTTTTCATGTATGTGTATGTTCATGTTTTTACATGTGTGTGGGTATGTGCCAAGGTGGATGTGTAACATCTTTCTTGATCACTTTCCACCTTATTCATTGAGGCAGAGTGTCTTGAAACTGTGTAGACCAGGCTGGCCTCGTACTCACGGAGATCCACTTGCCTCTATGCTGGGACTAAAGGTTTGTACCACCATATCTGGTTATCCCAGAATTCTTAAATGTTGTGGTAATGCTCAGTTATTTTTTTCTCCCTAAGAAGTGTAGTATTTGTTTCACTTTATCTTCTATCTTTGATATTCTTTCTTCTGCATCTATTGGTGATGCTCTCTACTTTACTTAAATTTTTAAAAATTTTATTATATGTGTGTGTGCGCCTAGTTTCATATGGTGATTGCAGTCTGTGTGGGCCCTGGGAACCTAGCCCAAGTCCTCTGAAGGCCAGTAAGTGCTCTTTAACTACTGAGCCATCTTTCCAGCATCTCTACTTTGTTTTATATTCATTAAACTTTTCAATTCCTTCCTCCTTCTCTTCCTCTTCTTTTCTTTCTTTCACTCCCTTGTTTCCTCCTTCTTCCTTTACTTCCTCTCTTCCTTTCACAAATCTCAATTTTCTTTCCGATTTTTTTTTTCTGTGTTGCCTTTTCATCTATATTGCTGTGGGTTTTTTTTTTTTTCCATCAATTTTTGTTGACTTTTACATCTCTGTGTTTACTTTCTATTCTTGGATTAAATCTGCTTTGTTTGTGTGTTATGTTAGATATGTCATTTTTAGCAGAAAACATTTGAGAGCTTCATCTTCATTTTATTTATTTTAGAGCTTCTGAGTTTCATAGTTGAGGATTATGGTCTTTTAGAGGAGTTGTGCTGTCCTGACTTTTTATATCTCTTGCATTGTTGTGATTTATGATCTGTTGGTGTGGCTAGCATCTCAGGATTTTGGAAGTAGATATATTCTTGAAGGTGTGTACACAGGAGGAAACACTGCTGTAGCAGCAGTGACATCAGCCGTATGAGATATAGAAATATACATAAAGTCAGTTACAGCTCAGTATTGTAGAATCACCAACAATAAGATAACCGAAAGTGCCAGACTGCAGTAGAATGTGATTTGGAGCTAAGTATGCTTTAAAGTAAGTGTGGAAGGAGACTGGGGAAGGGGAGAAAAGTGGGGAGCAAAGTCAAATAGATGAAAGGAAAAATAAGAAGTGAAGTAGAGGAAACATTTGAGAGATAAGAAAAGGCAAGTAAGAAAACATCACGAAACAGAAAATGTTCTGTTTTGTTCAAAATGGTTTTTTTGTTCAAAAGCAAAATGTAATAAATGTAGGACGGGGAAATAAAAGAACCAAATTTAAGAATGTTAAAAGTCAATAAGGTAAACATGACATTAAAGGTAGAGAGCAGGGAGAAGAGAAGGAATCATGGGGAAAAAAGTGAAAAAGAAAGCTGAGTACTCACGGCACATGCCTGTAATCGTAGCTCTTCCCAGGCAGGCAGCCTGCTGGTCTACATAATGAGCTCCATGCCAGTGAGGGCTGTATGAGGTCCTGTCTTAAGAAAAGAAACTAGGAAAAAGTTTTTCCCTAAATGAAAAAAAAAAAAAGGACAAAATTAGATAAATGTTTGAAGAGGAATAACAATTAAAAACATTTGAAAATATTTAAGTACAATACCTCCCACCCCTCCAAAAAAGAAAAAAAAAAAAAACTTCTTTACTAGGGTGGCAGAGACAGGAAGGTCTTTTGAGGGTGAGTCCAGCTTGATTTACATAGTGAGTGTTAGGACATCTAGGCCTACATAGAGAGACCCTATCTCAAAAAGCAAACAAGTCTTGGAAATGGAGCTCAGTGGGCAAAGGTGCTTGCTGCCCAAGTCTGATGATTTGAGTTTGCGTCTCACACCTTGTGGTTAAAGGAGAGTGCTGTTGAAAATATTGTCCTCTGGTCCCTGTGCCTGTGCCTGTGTGTGTGTGTGTGTGTGCGCGCGCGCACACACACACACACACACAAATAAGTAAGTAAGTAAAAGTCCTTTTAAGCATGTAGGGAAAAAAAATCACACACATAAATACAAATTAAAAAATGTAAATAGAAAACAAAAACGCAGCAGCTTTTTTCTGGATCCAGGAGAAGGAGGGTCAGTTTTACTGTGGACTGTTGATGTGCCTTTCCTTTGGTTTATGCTGTTACTAAGTCTGTTGCCATCTACCAGAGCTTTCTTCACAACCATTTTCTTTCTTTGTATGTCGGGTTCTGTTGGTCATACTTAGCTTTCCATTCTGTGGGTTGGGCAGGGTTACTCATCGTCCTTAGCCTGCCTATATTGTATCTTCCCTGTGTGCCTGTTTATCTAAGGAGTGTCTCCCAAGTGAGTTGGGAGTGTGGAGATTATATCATAGCACTGAGATTGGTACAGGCAAAAGACCTGCCTTCATATTTTCAAGTTCTCCTGTGTATTATTAATCACCCTGCTGGAGTGACACCTTTTGGTGTCATTAGACCACAGGAACTTCAGAGTTCTTGGGCTTAGCAGTAGTAAATGTAGGCAGGAGGTTGCAGAGGTTGATCTGCTCGCTGGCCTAAGCTCAGAGCTGTTAAACTCCAGCATAGATCCTAGTTGATGAGCTCTGTTCCTAACCACTGAGCATGACGGTGTCTCTCCTTATACATGACCCAGTCTAAGCCAGTCTCTTATTGCCTATACCCTTTGGCCAGAGTCCAAGCCTGCTGCTGTACACAACTGCTTTTTGGAGGCTTCCTTGACTAAAGCTTTTTGGAAGGGAGACCAAATTCAGGTTTCCCATCCTGTGGCTGTTCCTCAATCTCAGGCCCCTAGGGTATTTATTTATTTTTATGTATATGGCTGCTCTAACTGCATGTATGTTTGTGTCTGGTACTCCTGGATGCCAGAAGAAAGCATCATATTTCCAGGAATTACAGTTGTGAGCTGCCATGTGGGTGCTGGGATTGAACCCAGGTCCTTAAGAGGAACAATTAGTGTTCTTAATCATTGAGCCATCTCTCCATCCTCAGTTCAGTTTTTAACAATAGTTTTGTTTTTGTTTTTTTTTCTCAAAATGGTTCCTGTCCACTGCCTTCCAAACCATATGATATAACAAAAATGGGATTTGTTTCCACTACAGATCTGTCTATTGGAGTAATTGGTGCCTCATGGAAACTGAAACTGGACTTATGGCTTATAAGGACTAGGGCTTACCCTTGGGTAGACCTACCTTGCGTTTACCTAGCTTGCTGTTTTGAATGGCTGCTGCATCTCCTCCATGGCTAAGGGACTGTGTAGCTGGTGTGCTCAGCTTGAAGTGTACTTGGTATGCTTCTGTTCTTGCTTGTCTCCAGTGTGCTTTCACTTTCAAAGCTTTTCCCTCTATCTTTTTTGGTGTAGTTTGAGTTTTCTTATTCTAATAGTCTGCTTATGTTTATTATATGCATTTCCAAATCTTTTTTTTAAGTTTTTGTTTTTGAGACGGGTTTTAGGTAGCCTTGGCTATTCTGGACTCACTTTGTACACCAGGCTGGTCTCCAACTCACAGAGAACCGCCTGCCTTTGCCTCCCTGAGTGCTGGGATTGCAGGCGTGTGCCACCACTCCCAGCTTTACTTCTTTTTTTTATATATATTTATTTTTATTTTATGTGCATTGGTGTTTTGCTTGCATCTATGTCAGTGTGAGGGTATTGGATCCTCAGGAGCTGGAACTACAGACCATTATGAGCTGCCATTGAACTCAGGTCCTTTGGAAGAGCAACCAGTGTTCTTAACTGCTGAGCCATCTCTCCAGCCCCCCAAATCTTATTTCTTAAAACTGACTGTCATCTCTCCTGTGGAGGGTAGGGCCCAGTTGCCACTGCTGTAATTTAGGTAGCAGCTTTGTTAAGCTTTCGTTGGTAGCACTAGGTATCTGTCCCTACGCTGGAGAGTGTGCTGATGGTGGGGCTTTCTACTGTTGAGACACCCGGGAATGTTTTAAACTGTCATGGGTCTTAGGCTCCCCACAGGCCTCTGTTTTATTGTGGTGAGCCTTTGCAGAGCAGATGTACGTTTTAATAAATGATTACATGCTTTGTCACCAGGAGAGAGTTGAAATCACATACAATGTGGTTTGACTTCAAATTGATTAGCTCATTTTATAAATGTCAGCAAATTGTGTTGTGATAGACTTTTTGAATAGAGCCCTAATGTTACATGCAAAGTAAACTGTGGCTGGCTTGGGTTTATAACAAATGCTCTGAAATGTTTTATTTAGAGGGAGAAATCACTTGTGGTTTCCTGTCATGATTTAGTTATTTATCATGAGTCTCAGTGGTGGCTAGTCTCTCTTCATTTTGGCTCTTGGTTGACAGAGGATTTGTGTTTTTAAGTGTCTTCTTGCATACTTGATCAAACTAATTGTAAAACTCTGTGAAGCAGGAGGGGACTATTTCAGATGTTCAGATCTCTCAGCCATGTATTCTGGTGTCAGGAAGAGATCATACTCCATGAACAAACAGTCAGGGAAAACCAGAAGGTTGGATAAGGGAAGTCATTCATAATTAAATTTTTTCTGAGAAGAGATATTCAACTTGTGTGGACAGATTTTTGCTATTGGACAGTTTGGGATTTTACTTTGTTTTACTTGAAAAGCTGTATTTCAAGATAAAGGAAAACTTTAACTATAAGGTGAGGAAAAACTACTGTGCTTTCAGGAGAATTTCCATGTTTTCTAAGTTTATGTGTGTCTTACCTTCAGAAGGCTCTAACTGGCAGCAAACTGCAAAACACCTTTGACATTTTTATATTGTAGTGTAATTTTTGTGTTCTCTGATAGTCCCTGGTAGTTCTTACTCTTTAACCTTCCTTTGTGAAGACTACAAAAGGGAACTACTTCTTTTTATTCAGTGGTTTCTCTGGAACCCAAGTCGCAAGCACGCATATTTTCTCTCTTTCTGCTCTACTTGTCCTATAGATGCCTTGCTTCCTGGTTGTGACACTGTACACAATACTGAGAGTACAATTTACTTAGAACTTTGTCAGTGACCCGGCATTCTTGTGGTCCTGGGCTCTGCTTTGTTCTATGAGGAGTTCACTTGTTGTGTGATTCTGTTTTTAGCATTGCAACTTTGACCAGTAAGAGAAGCTTAGTCCTTATGCCAGAAAGTTCTTCAGAAGAAATCACTGTTTGCCCTGGTAAGTACCCCATGGCTTTATTAAATTTCTGATGTTCCTTATCTACCTTTTCATTCCTATTAAATTTTCTGACTATTCAAATCATTCTCAGGAGAGTTATGTGTGTGTATGTGTGTATGTGTTTATTGCTAGTACACAAACACACTCAACATACTTGTTTCTAGTAGACACAGGTTCTGATTATCAACCTTATTTTCTATTTAGAGGTAATTTGGTTTTGAAATTAACATGGCTCTTTGCTTGGTTGTCTACCAGTGTGATTTAAAGAAGCAATAAAGAATCAAGAATTATCCTTGCCTAGGTGCGGTGGCTAGAGCTAATGTCAGCACTCGGGGAGGCAGAAGCAGGTGGATCTCTATGAGTTTAAAGCCAGCCTGGTCTACAAAGCCAGTCCAGGAAGCCAAGGCTACACAGAGAAATCCTGTCTTGAAAAAACCACCAGCACTACCACTACCACCAAAAAAAAAAAAAAAAAAAAAAAAAAAAAAATTTTACTTAACAGTGAATTCAGAGCCAAGGGCACTTAAATATTTGATTTATGTGTTGGGCTGTTCTCAGTTATCTTCATTGTTAAGCAGAACCCTTTACTAGTTAGTTTTGATACTGCTGTTCATTGAGGTTTTATGAATTTAGGAACTGAATTTTGTGCAGTTTTGTGACTAGCATAGTTTTAATCAAAGACAAACCTGGATAAATGCTTTAGTTTGTATCTATAAGGATGGAGCTGTATACCTCGATTACACATGAGACGTAATGATGGAGAGTTTCATGTGGGCGGACATAGATGTATAAAATAACTAAGAGAGCCACCGAGTAAGGGGGCTCTTTGATGAGTCATTGTGTATAATGTGAAGAATTATTTTGCTAGACGGATCACTTTTATTTTCTAAGTAATTTGCTTTAGCTTATCTTTTTTTTTTTTAATTTTTAAAAGCAGATCCCATTTTGTCAGGAATATCATTCATGTAAGGTTAAGGAATAAAAAGTACTGTATAAATGTTAGTCAAAGTCATATTTGGGTTTCTTGTAGAAAAAAAATATAAACTGAGTATTCATAGTTTTCTTATTTTAATTTCTTTCTATTTTTTTTTTTTCCTACAAAGACTAAAACTTAGTTAACATGTACTCTAGGAAAAATTCTATAAATACTTTAAAACACTTGGCAACCTATCAAAAAGGTTTTTATTGTTTTAAGAATGTAAGTAATGTTGGTTTTTAATGAAAGTGATTTCTTAATACATTTGAAATGTATTTGGTTTACTGCCTAATGATACCTACTAAGAGACTCCATTACCAGAACACTCTGGCAATGGCACTTAAGAATGTGATGCTGTCTTTGTGAGAAGGAAAGTGTTATCTCCGTTGTCTGGAACTGATAAATTTTGACTCTTCTGGGAAGTCCCTCAGTCTACCTGTTGAGGTGATGGCGTATGATGTCACTGTGACAGCTTTCAGGAAGAACCTGCAAAGTCTCAGCTAATAGATTTTAATTTTTACGTGTGTGGGGGGGTATGGGATAGGTCATAAGACTAAACAGGGACCATGGAAAGGCAAAAATATTTCCTAGGGAAAAATAAGGTAATAGAATACACGTGACCTGAGCATGCAAAGAGGACTGCCTGGGGATGGAAGGACTAGGGAGGAGGGGTGTGGGGAGCGAGGAGGAAAAGGTCATAAAAACAAGTGTGTATGAAATGTGACAACACAAGCCATTGTTTTTGTATGCCAACTTAAAAATAAAGTCCTAGGGGCTGGAGACATGGCTTGGCAGTAATGTCTGCTCTTGTAGAGAACTCAGGTTTGAGTCCCAGCACCCACATGGAGGTGGATTTAATCTGTAGGCTAATGATAGAAGTTACCTATCTTAGGAGTTAGGAGGGGCTTACTTTCCCCTCTCTCATTACCCACCCGCAGTTAGGAGGCGTTTACTTTCCCCTCTCATTAGCCGGCGATGTTTGTTTGTAGTGTACAGCGTTCTGCACGCAGCTCCCATGGAGGCTAGATATAACGGCACTAATCATGTCCTCTTTCTTTCTCCACCCTCTCTTCCTTCCTTCCTTCCTTCCTTCCTTCCTTCCTTCCTTCCTTCCTTCCTTCCTTCCTTCCTTCTTTCTTTCTCTCTTTCTCTCTCTCTTTCTCTCTTTCTCTCTCTCTCTTTTTTTTTTTTTTTTTTTTTTTTTTTTTAGTTTTTCAAGACAGGGTTTCTCTGTATAGCTTTGGCTGTCCTGGAACCTGCTCTGTAAACCAGGCTGGCCTCAAACTCAGAGGTCCACCTGCGTCTGCCTCCCAAGTGCTGGGACCAAAGACGTGCACCACCCCAGCTTATTTCTTCATTCTTTTGACCTAATTACTTACTAAAGGCCTCTCACTTCGTATTACCACCATTGGAATTTTGATTTTATCATAAGGTTTGAATGGGATATAGGCATTGAGTCTGTAACATTGCTTGAGCAGATTCGCTGTCATTTTTAATACAATTATCATTTTTTTTGTTATATTGCTGGGTCTCTAGAGCTTCTGCTTAGCAAACTTCAAGAAATATTCTTACTAATTTGCCAAACCTTCCCCAAACTTTTTCTTTTAAGATTAGTAAATATTTTAGGCTCTTAGGCTAGATATTTGGTTAAAGCTACTCATCTCTGTTTTACTGCAAAAGCAGCCATAGAAGATATATAGCTGGCTGTGCGGTGGTGCACATCTGTAATCCCTACGCAGGGAGGTAGAGGCAGCGGATCACTGTGAGTTCAAGGCCAGACTGGTCCTCAAAGCCCAGGACAGCCAAAGCTATACAGAGAAACTCTGTCTTGAAAACCCGAAAAAAAAAAAAAAAAAAAAAAAAAAGAAAGAAAATACATAGCTAACTGAATATGGCTTTGTTTCAGTAGGCATTATTAACAAAACTGGGGAGCCAGCCAGATTGGGCACAGAGGGAAACTATAGTTTTCTGCCCCTGATCTATACTGTATCTTTGTGTTAGTAGTAGGTAGCCTGGGACTTGTTATTCCATTAATATTTGTTGAACTAATAGACATTGCTTAAAGAACATATTAAAGAATGTCATATCTTTCTATAGAATGCATATTCTTATTTTTTATTCTATTTTCTGTTTTTCCTATTTATCCCTTTAATATTAGAGTTTTTGGTTTCTGTCAAAATCAATAGATTTTGAAACTAGGACTGCAGGGAAATAAGCCAAGTGGATTACCTGGTAAATAGATAAGCAAACTGTGATGTATTCGTTCAGCAGACTCCTGCTTTCCAGAAAACAGGGTGACCCTTTGATATGTCTGACAAGATGGCTGCCTCTCAGTTACATGATACTAAGATGACACCAAAGACTGTATACTGTGTGATAGTTTACATATTTGAAAAACAGGTCTCTCTGTCTTGCCCCAGGCTTGGACTTGAATTCTGTCTCAGCCTCCTGAATGGCTAGGATTACAGGTGTGTGCCACCATATCTGGCTGATTCCATTTAGGTAGTATTCTGGGAAAGACAAAATGGCAGGAGCATGTAGTAGGTGTGTACTGTTGACTTCAGAAGGGTACAGGGGGATTTTAATGGGATCCTGGAAACATTTTTCTTTTGTGATGGTATATAGTAGCCAAAACCTATCAAATCACAAACTGGAAAAAAAAAAAAAAAAAAGGTGAATTCTGTTACATGTAAATTATGTCACAGTAAAGCTTCAAGAAGAGACAAACTAGGTTTATATTGTCAGTGTAGAGGGAAATATGCAAAATGAAAATTATTAGTATTTATTTTTTAATTACAGAGACACAATTAAGTTCCCCTGAGCCCCTTGACCTCAATAAAGAAGACTCTCTAGAGAGCAGAGAGATCCCCATTGAAGTAAGAACAACAGTGGACGATAGGCAGGTGAGTACTCTTCATGATTGTTCTCCCTCCTTTGTTAATGCTCTTGATCTTCTGTATGATGCAGTGTTCACCTTGGCATAAAAGGTTTTGGTGTTATAGGGTTTTAACTTTGGGGGCACTTATTTGAGAAACTTTTACAGTTAGATTATCAATTCAGCATTATTTATAAAAACATCACCATTTCTTTTTTTTTTTTTTTATTTTGTTTTTGAGACAGGGTCTCTCTATATAACCCTGGTTGTCCTGGAACTCACTCTGTAGAGCAGGCTGGCCTCCAACTTATAGAGATCTGCGTCCCTCTGCCTCCCCAGTGCTGGGATTAAAGGTGTGTACCACCGCTGCCCAGCCACGTAATGTTTCTTGAGTACTATTATTATTTCTGTTAGAAATGGGAAATGAAAGATTTAGAATGTTTACATGATTTGCTATTATGTGTTACTATTAATGATAGAATTAGAACCTGAACATGGATTTGCCTCTAAATCTACACAGACATTTTCTGTTACATACAGGTTAAGTAGCAGAAATGAACAAGGGGGGGTGCCAATCATCGACTAACAAACATTTTCAACCTTAATTTAGAAATGTTATCAGAAATACAAAGGATGACAAGTACATGAATCTCAGTTTGCATCATTAACTATCCCTGACCACATATGCCTGATCATAGCCATAAAGTTGAGATTCTTGGAGAAACCCAGGCATGGTGGCACAGCCCTTTATTCCTAGTGCTGGGGAGGCAGAGGCAGATAGATCTCAGGAGTTCAAGGTTAGTCTGGTTTATACAGTGAGTTCCAGGACAGCCAGGGCTACATAGGAGAGAAGGAAAAAAAAAAGATTTTGAGAGAGAGAGAGAGAGAATTTTTAAAGTGCATTCATTTGTTAGTGCAGATTAATAACTAACTAAAGGTGGAGGTTAGTTTCCTCCACCTTACTTTTTGAGGCAGGATCTGTCTCTCACTGTATCTGAATTCTGGCTAATCTGGCTGCCCAGTAACCCCCTGTGTCCTTCCCATCTCTGTGTCCCCTCCCTGTCCCTAGTGCAGGAGCCACAGGTGTGCACTACTGACTTTTCTGTGACTGCTGATGATTCACATTCAGTTCCTCAGACTCGAATAGGAAGTACCTTACCCCCTTAGCCGTCTCTGCAGTCCTTTACTGTATATTTTTTATGTTGGATTTGACTAATTCTGTTGCTGTAAAAAGCAGTTTGAGGACTGAATAAATTCTTCTATAGAAATAAAAATTTTATTTATATTTCCTTGTGGTTCTGAACACTTTAAAAGAAACTTAATTTTCTTCATCCCTTTTTATACTGTAAAGCGATTTTTGGAAACAATTTTCACAGTAGATGTTAGATCCCTTTCCTAGTCTTTTCACTGCAGGTAATTGGTTAGAAAACTCTGCTTTCATGAATCATTATACAGATTTCTTGGAACCTGGTGTGTCACAAGTAACAGACTGGGATTTCCTTATGCTAGTGCAGGAAAAATTAGCTTCTGGAGCATTTCTACTGAGGATAGATCCTGCTAGATAACGTCAAAATGGCCTCTGGGTTTTTCCCAGGGACAGCGGAGACCTTCTCAACGGGACTCAGAACAGAGGATTGGTATTATAGTTATCCTAACATATGAAGAAGCCCTACAAGCTTTAGTTCTCAAGGCTGCTCTCTTACCCATTTGTAACTACAAAAGATGCTGTTCTTTGAGCCAAAGAACATAAACCCTATTTAGACGTTATAGTATGCATGTCTGCACTGTTGCATATCAAATGGGAGCTTTTCACTGTTGCTGTTTGATTGTGTCTGTTAAACCTCTAAGTAATCTTGGGAGTTCCCGTTAAAGGAAGTTGAAGCGGGGGGGGGGGGGGACCTTGAAGTTACTATGCTCCCCCTGCCTGTCTCCTGAGTGCTGGGATTCAAGGAGCCACGTACCATACCTTGTTTTTTGAGACAAATTCGTTTGTTTGTTTGTTTGTTTGTGTGTTTGTTTGTTTGTTACTTCATACAAACTCGGAACTCACTCTGGAACTCACTCTGAGGCCTGGAGCTCCGAGATCCACCTGCCTCTGCCTCCTGAGTGCTGCAATTAAAGGTGTGTGCCGCCACTGCCCACCTCCCCAAATACATTTTTTAAAAAACTGAGTTTCTTAAAATATTTAATTAGACACAGTATAAAACATACACAGCTGGGAACCGGGCGTGGTCACACACCTGTAATCCCAGCACTCCAGGAGGCAGAGGCAGGTGAGTTAGAGGCCAGCATGATTTACAGAGTTAGTCCAGGGCAGCCAAGGCTACATAGAGAAACCCTGTCTCAGAAAAAAGCAAAATAACAACAAACTATAAAGCTGATTTGGTACAAGTAGGAGTGTGCATATAGAACTAGTTTTTCTGCTTTGAAAGTTTTGTGATTGTCCAGTGATATTATCTGTTAGTAGGGTGGTAACTGCTTGGTAGTGCTGGCTTTTGGAGAGCGTCCTCATCATTGCTGTAGTCTCTCTTGATTTCATTTCTTCCTTTTCTTTGGAAATAATGGAAGAACAATGTTTTTTCAGTATTGTGCCTGAGAATTTTGTTTGTTTTGGTTTTTTGAGACAGGGTTTCTCTTTGTAGCCCTGGAGCTCTCTTTGTAGACCAAGCTGACCTCCAACTCAACAAAGATCCATCTGCTTCTGCCTTCCTAGTGCTGGGATTAAAGGCATGTACCAGCACCTCCTGGCTCCTGAGAATTTTCTTGAGGCACATTGTCATATAGACACTCTGTTTTCAGATGAGTTGAGAGGAGTTGTTCCAAGCCAAACCAATAGTTTAGTCAGCTTTTATGTGAATTAAGAGTCGTATAGAGTCAGATGTGGTGATGGACACACACCTGTAATCCCAGCACTCAGGAGGCAGAGGCAGGTGGGTCTCTGAGTTTGAGGCCAGCTTGGCCTACAGAGTAGGTTCTAGGACAACCAAGGTTATACAGAGAAACCTTGTCTTGAAAGAAAAAACACCCCCCCCCCAAAAAAAAATAAATTAGAGGTTTTCAGTTTTTTGACATAGTGATATATTAGTGTCATCTATAAGTGTACTGGGTGGAATTCACAGCTCTCCTGGGATGTGGCCAAAGAGTGTATATACCTACAAGGGATTCTGTGTCTGAGTGCCATTTTTGATAATTGTGTAGTATTTTATTTATTTATTCTCTGCATGTGTGTGTAAGTTAAAGACAATTCACAGGAGATAGTTTTCTCTATCCATGCAGGTTCTAGGGGTTGAACTCAGGTCATCAGAGTTGGTGTCAAACACCCTCACCCACTGAGCCATCTTGCCTGTCTGGTATTTTAAAACAAGAGACAGCTCCAGAGAGACCAAATCTGGTCAGCTGCATAGTCCTAATAAAAGTGCTTTGCTCATGTTTTCTGCCTTGTAATTCCTTTCTAGTAGTTAATATTAAAGTACACCTTTTCAGTGGTATTAAGAGAAAATGTCTTTATTTTTAAGATAAGGGTTTTCAAAAATGTTCTGAGTTTTGTATAATGTAGTTAGAAGTCATTTCAATCAGTGAGACAATAGAAAAACTCCTTTTTCTTAAATAACATTAATAGCATGAGTACATTCACTGTACTTTATAGAAGGACAGATGAGCACAAAGCAATGTAGTGGTTTTGTAAGCATGGGTAATGTCCCTTTTGTATCACATTTTTGTGCTTAGTGAACTTTAGAATGCCAAGTAGCTTCTCAGTAACCACGAACTTCAGTAACTCAAGACTGCTTGCAATTTTAGGGTGTATTTGCTTCCTTCCTCTCTTTGCTCAAAAAAGGTTTGCATGCACAATATAGTGTTTTCTTGTAAGGTCTGAACAGTAGAACCTAGATTTGTAAGAAGCTCAGTGACTAGCCTTGGAATAATATAATCTAGAACGTTCTTTAGGTTTAAAGTTTCAACTTTAAAGTTTATTTTAAAGTTCACTTTAATCTCCTGACTTCTATGGAATAATTAGTTTGGACCAGCAAAATGGCTCAGCAGGTAGAAGTGTTTGTTGTATAAGCTTGATGACCTGAGTTTGAGTCCTGATACCTCTATTAAAAGATGGATGATACATATCCATAATCCCAGTACTCCCATGGCAAGATAGGGATTGGAGGCAGGAGAATTTCCTGGAAGCTTGAGTGCTGGCTACTTTCATGTCAGCTGATACAAGCTATAGGCATCTGAGAGGAGGAAACCCTAACTTAAAAAATATCTCCATAGGCTGGGCTCAGTGGCCCACACTTGTAATCCCAGCACTCAGGGAGGCAGGTAGATTGCTGTGCTTTTGAGGCCAGGCTGGTCTACAAAGCAAGTCCAGAACATCCAGGGCTACACAGAGAAACCCTGTCTTGAAAACAGAACAGCAAGACAAAACAAAAAGTAAATACCTCCAGGAGACTGGGCTGAGGGCAAAGCCTGTAGGGTATTTTCTTAATTAGTAGTTGATGAGGGAGGACCCAAACTATTATGGGTGGTTTGAGCTCTAGGCTGATGGTCCTGGGTTCTGTGAGAAAGGCAGCTGAGCAAGCCATGAGAGCAAACCAGTAAGCAAGAACCCCTCCATGGCCTCCACCTTAGTTCCTGCTTCCAGGTTCCTGCCCTGTTTGAGTTCCTGCCCTGACTCTCTTCCATGATGAACTGTGATAAGGAATTATAAGCAAAATAAATTCTTTCCTCCCCAAGTTTTTTTGGTCATACATAGTGTTTATCACAGCAATAGAAACTCTTTAACTAAGACAGCCAGCCAGCCTGGAATACAAAGTATGGAAGAAATAAGGTGGAAGGTGGAAGAAGAGAACCAACTCCCAAACTTCCACATGTATACTATGTGGCATTGACACACACACACACACACACACACACACACACACACACACACACACA